GATCTCTTGACCTCATGATCCACCCGCCTCGGCCTCCCAAAGTGCTGGGATTACAGGCTTGAGCCACCGCGCCCGGCTTATAATGAGATTATTAACTAAAATGAGAAATTCCCACAGCAGTGAAACAAATTTTACTTTTCTTTCAGATGGATGAATGTGAGGTGACAGTAATGAAAGAGATATTTTATAAATAACCAATATTTTATCTTTCTCAATTAGAATAAAAATAAATTAATAATGGTTTAACATTCTAAAAGTGATGTATTTAGCTATTTAACCTATACTTGTTTGATGGTCTAGGCATTCAAATTTGAAATAAGCATTAAAGGACAATTTATCAACTTTCAAAAACAGAATAGATCATACTGAATTAGTTTATTTTAGATAAGAGTACATTAATGCTAACTTATCTGAGTTTATTTATTCAGGATCACAGGTATCATGACTTAATTTATCAGGTATGGTGGTAAAAGAAATGCAACTGATTCAATAAACCATATATGGAGATCTACCTCAATGTATAATTTCCGTGATTTATAAATAATATTCTTTCAAGTTTTCACTTCTCAAAAGATAATTGGAACCTATTTTAAGAACCTACCTAGAAATACAAAGAGACAGAAATAAAATATAATCTCAGCTCAGAATATTCAGAAAAAAATTCTGATTCTGGACATGACTGTTACTGTCAGACATTTAATTATAAAAGTACAAGTCATCACGGTTATTAAAATTCTCTCTATCTGTGCATCATTACTTTGCTAAAATTAGAAGCACAAGAAAACCAGTTAGAGATAGACAAGTATTTTACTAATTTCTCTCTAAAAATGTGGATAAGAAGCTCCACTGGTATTTAGACTTCATTGTTTAAAATTTTTCCACTTTGTAACACTCCTAATACCCATAAGCCTGTAGGAATAGTTGTAAAATTAATAAAATTTATATCACATAATGAGATCTCAAAAGCATATTAGAAAGGCAATTTCCACCCTGTGCAGATAGGCCATCACCTCCATCTCAGCAGGATAAAATATGAGCAGTCTAAGTGAAGATTAGAGATAAGACAACCTGAAAAATACAAGAAACTAAAAGCTATCAGAAGCAATAAAAGAAACAAAGCATTATCAGCATACTAGCTACAATGCAAACCAAAATGGCTCACCTCTCATTTTTCAGTAAAATAAGTACCTAAGAATGAGCTTTTCTATTTTAAGAAAATTCATTTCTGTCAGTGCAAAAATATAACAGCTTTATGGAACAATTTGAACAACAAAATAAACAAAGATAGAACTAGATTATAACTCAAAACATCCATGAGTACATAGTGATAATAAATAAATAACTGAAGATACAAATAAATTGGGGAAAAGGGGTAGATCTTCCATGCAGAAAAATATCAATTAATAAATATATATAGGTAGAATGAAGAAAATACAAAATTACCATTAGGCAAACACCACAATAATAACTATTGCAGGCAAGCTCCACCAGTACATGCTAAGATCAGTGAGTGAAAGTTTGAGAAAAACGTCCCCCAAGGTATTTATCAATTACAGAGGGAAAAATGGCAGGGGATATATTGGAAGGCCTGGGTTCCCAGGCAGAAGCCTGCCACAGGGGTTCTGTCCCCATGGAGTGACTCTACTAAGGCAATGCTGAGTGGAAATGTGAGGTTGGAACTCCTACAGAAAGTCCCCAACAAAAGCACTGCCTAGTGCAGGTGTGGAATTGGGGGTGTTGCAGGGACCCTAGAATTACAGAGCCACCATTATCGAGCATCTCCTATCTGGAAAAGCTGCAGGCACCAGACTCCCAATTCAAGAAAGCAGCCACATGGGCTGTGCCCAGCAAAGCCCTGGAGGCAGGACCCCTCAAGGGCTCAGGAGCCCATCTCTCACAGTAGTGTACCCAGGATATGGGACACAGAGTCAAGGGAGATAATTTTGGAGCTTTAAGATCTAATGTCTACTATGCTGGGTTTTGGACTTGGATTACCCCTCTCATTTGGCTGATTTCTCCCTTTCAGAATGGAAATGTCTACCCAATGCCTATACAACCATTGCATCTTAGAAATATATATCTTGTTTTTGGTTTTATAGGCTCACAGGTGTAAGGAACTTATCTTGAGTCTCAGATGAGACTTTGGACTTTTGAGTTGATGGTAGAACAAGCTAAGACTTTTGAGGACCATTGGGAGGGAATGATTGTAATTTGCAATGTGAGAAGGACATGAGATTTGAGAAGCCAGATGCAGAATGCTATAGTTTGGATATGTTTGTCCCCCAAATCTTACGTGGAAATTTGATCCCCAATGTTGGAGCTGGGGCCCAATAGAAAGTGTTGGATCATGGGGGCAGATCCCTCATGAAGCACTTGGTGTAGTCCTCCAGATAATGAGCGAGTTCTCTCACTCTGTTAGTTCCTGACAAAGAAGCCTAGCATTTCCCTCCTCTCTCTGGCACTGTCTCTCTCTCTCTCTCTCTCTCTCTCTCTCTCTCTCTCTCTCTCTGTGTCTCCCGTGTGATCTCTGCACACGCTGGCTCTCCTTTGCCTTCTGCCATCAGTGGAAGCAGGCTGAGGCCCTCAGCAGAAGCAGATGCTGATGCCATGCTTCTCTTATAGCCTGTAGAACCATGAGCCAAATAAACCTCTTTTCTTTATAAACTACCAAGTCTCAGGTATCCCTTTACAGCAACACAAATGTGCTAAGACAGTAGACATATCGATTACCCCAACTTGATCATTACAAATTGTATATATGTAACAAAATATCACTCTGTATCCCACACATATGTACAATTAATATGTGTCAACTAAGAGGAAAAAAATAATAAAGTCTATTTAAAAAATGCAATGTGGGATACTAGATTAGATCCCCTGGAATCTAACACCAGTTAATTAATTAACCAATGTCCTTTTCCTGGAACAGGAAGGGACATTAGGAGAAAAATTGGTGTTAATTTTCTAGTTGTGATTATACTAACATGTAAACTGTTAACATTAGGGGAAGCTGAGTGAAGGATATAAGTTAACACTGTACTATTTTAACTCTGTACTATTTTTACAACTATTCTGTAAGTCTAAAGTAATGTAAAAATAAAAAGTTTTAAAATTCCAGCCTTAATTTCAGTTTAAAAAACAAAATTAATAAACCCCCATTTCTTCAACAGACCACATGTAACCAAATCCTTCTGCCTTTAACTAAATGTTACTAATATTATTATTCATATAGTTAACATTAAGTGTCAGGCATTATTCTAATAACTTTATAAGTATTAACTCATTTATTTCATCATCAGAATCCCTCTATGATGTAACTATCATAACCTCCATTTGATAAGTGAGAAAACTGAGAATACCCAGAGTCACTTAGTGACAAGAGTTGAGATTTCGACTCCAGAATTCATGAAGTCAATCCTACATTGCTTCTCAATAACAAATGTAGTACTACCAGTAGCAGTGGTAGTAGCAGCAGCAGCAAAAATAATGATGATGATGATGACGATAAACCAGTAAAATACATGAAAGGCATACCCTGCATGAGATCTTTAGACCTATATCAAATTTCACTCTATAGCAGGGTATTATAATAGATAAGTGCCAGTGTTATCTTATAATTCTTATGGGGAGAAATGCTCATTTGAGGGCCTAATGGTTGAGGGTAAAAAGTTACCTTCTGTTTTTCTCTATAATCTTCTCCTTCAAACTTGTATAAACTTTGTTCAATGTCCATTCTAAAATTTCTTAGAGAAGACTCTCCCATTTTTTGCAGGCGCTCATTCATCTCTGCAGTCTAAAAATGAATGCATTGAAATGAGAAAATTATCACTGAATTACTTGTAAGAGTCTATGGATTCTTTACCTTTTTAATAGTCAGGTTTTGACATGAAATACACAGCCTCCTAATTTACAAGGCATGAATGCAATGCTAACATCAAAGTTGAAGTGTAAATTTTACTTGCCCAAGTATTTCAAATATTTAAATGGTGCTTCCCAGGTACTCTCACTTAGGCTTTCTTTAAAATCTTTCATCAGTGAAGTTGTAGCCACATTATAATTTCTCTTGCATAATTTAAATGGGACAAATAGTTAATGCTAAGACAAAGGCAAAGTTGGACTAAAACAACACATTTGCATACTGATATGAAACATATTAACACAAGATTATTCAAAATGCAGGTTATTACCTGAAGTACAAAAATCTTCTGAAAAGCAAATTCAACCAGTTTACAAGATATGTAATTAACATGGTAAAATACACTATGGAGATGAAATCAGCAAAATCCACACTGTGATTAACTCAAAAGGCAAACAACCTAGTTTCTTCACCAAATAAATTACAAGGAATACAATACATGTCGGGAGCGGGATTCCTATAGAGTTTAAAAGACAGAGATGAAATCTCAATCAATAGCAATTTGTATTCTGACTTGCATTCTTATTTAAAAACAAAAACAAAACTTTTTAAGTACAAATATTTATGAAACAATTGGAAATTTGAATACTAACTGGATATTTGGTATTATTAAAGAATTATTCGGGTTTTCAGGTGAGACAATGTTATAATGATTACCTTTAAAAGAGTCCATCTATTTAACAAATACAAAGTACTATTTACAGCTGAAATATGTCTGAGATTTGCTTCAAAATCATCCAAGAAGGGGAAAAAAGAGCTGGGGATATAAACAGGGCAGGACTAGTTGATGGTTGTTAGCAACAGGTGATAAGTACTTGGGGGCTCATTATACTATTCTGTCTCCTTTTACTTATGTTTAAAATTATCCACAATTTGTGGAGGGTGGAAGGTGAACTAAACACAAAATTACAATATTCTGAAACAATTTATTATGCTTTAACAAATAGTGATTTAGTATTTCATGAAATGTTTCATAAAAAAGAAACAATCATTAGAGTGAATCGGCAACCAACAAATTGGGAAAAAATTTTTGCAGTTTACCCATCTGACAAAGGGCTGATATCCAAAATTTACAAAGAACTAAA